GTTTCATTTCTCAGAAGGTAAACAGGTAAAACCAGCACCTTGCTGCACATTTTCAGCAACAGAAAACCAAATCCTTACAAAACAGAGCAATAAAATAGGATTATCTTCTGCTTATTTACAAGGCTTAATCCCTGATCAAAGACTACCACCAGCCTCGTACACACCCAGACTTCCTTTATCCTGTCTTGATTCTTTAATCACAACTCCTTCAACAGCACTTTTAAGAAAATCCTCCTCCAGTTCTGCAAGTTTCAACAGCTTTGATAAATGCCAAACACTTGGAGCTACTGATCTAAGCAGAGAAGTACTCAATACGCACAACTCTCTGTCAGTCCATGTTCAAGATGTTTTTGAACAAGCCAACAGGTCATGAACACAATATTAGCTAAGGAGCAGTTCAATGCAGAGACACTGAGGCAGGGACTCACTGCAGAAATGAATTCTGAAGTGGAACCACGATGGCCCATGGACTGGAACATGCCTTCCAATAGGGAACAGGGCTACTTTGCAACAACTAAGATGAATCATGTACAAGCTTTTAAACTGGCATAATAAGTAATCCAAGTTATTTTAGACATGCATATGGCTATCTGAAGTACAAAGGCACTCAACTAAGCCATGGTTTGTTTCAAAGCTCACTTCATTATGTAACAATTAAATCCGTTTGAAAAGGCACAAAATCCACCCTTACAAGCAACCACACAGACGGTAAAAGCACCCTATGAAAGAAAAGATGGACAAACTCAAACACTGCATGAAGTTCCTTGCATCTAATGGCACAACTACACGGTGGCAAAAACACTAAGCTGTCTTATTCCTTTATATGAAATGTTAAAACAAAGATGGTGCACGTGCATGTGTCTGCCCCTTAAAACAATTTCCAATTCTACTACCCACTAATGCAGGCACTGCTTTCTCCTTATTTGAATTGCTGTCAAATTTACACTGGACACTTGGAAGAAGTGTTTTTATTAAATTTCCCTTCCAATAACTTCTTGAAAATGAAAATATTACCTGACATGGTGTGAGTGGAAATTTCTTTTTTTTTTTTTTTAGTAATATTCAACCATATAAATTCAGTTCCACTAGTTTTTTTTAGATTTGTGGCAGTGTTCTGGATAACCTGAACAATTAATTCTCTGCAATGCAGGGCCCTCCCTCACACAAAGCCTTGCCAAACACATATTCATAGTTCAGCTACTGCCTTCCAGAAAAAGTGTTCCAGTGTAGCCCATGTCCCTTCCCTTTATACCTCAATATTATTTAAATAAGATTTTCTTAGACTGTAAAGAAAAGTTAATACACAATTATATTAACAATCTGAGCTCAGGTTCATATTTCTCCCTGCTGTTCAATTCAGCTGGAGTCCAGCTGTATTAACATACATCACTGGTCAGATGGATCTATCAGATTAAATCCATTACTGAAGCAAGGAAGGGCTGCACATGTATGTCTTGCTGAGGTGCAATCATGCTGTTATAGCTGTCCAAGAAATCTGGGATATAATGATAGTTTTCTCATTAAATGCAGGGGATTGATGATATCTTATGTAATGAAATATGACCATTACCTTAAAATAGCTGTATTGAGGAGCTAGAATTGCAACCCATCCATAAAGGCATTTTTAGTGAAGTATAATAAAAACCGGTATCACTCACACTAATCAGCTCTTCATGCTGTCACAGGTTTTTTCCTACTAACACAAAACTCTCAGCTCTAAAAAAAGTTTCTATTACAAGCAACTATTACAAGTTTTCTGCTACAAGTTTCTATTACAAGCACAATGCAATACCACCATTCCAAAAAGAGAAATCAAGCCCAATTATTGCTCAGATTTTTTTTTTATTAGCAGCACTTCAGACAGCAATAAAATTAAATGCAAATACATGTTTTTCCCTTTTTACTTTGGAGAAGTGGCAGTCATGCAGGAGATTTTAAAAATAAAAAAATAGGATTATAAAACCATAAAATTGACCCAGGGCCTTTGGGCATACAGAGTACTTAGAGTTATAATTAATTTTTTAGTGTGACAAGATTTGAAAACTGACTGTGGAACTCTAAAAGCTCTTTCAAATTTTAAACTGCTCTCTTCCAATGCAGCAATCCTAATCACAAAAGAAACAACTTAGTGTTCAGTTCAAAATTAAAACTACTTCAGCACATGTTAATGAATAGTATAAGCAAACTCTTGGTGAGCCGTTTTATGCCAGCAGTGCACACAGCCCTCATCCAAGCAGGACAGAGCAGGCTGCTCTCCCATCACACCATCTAACCAGGCACAGGCACGGGATGTCAGGACTCCTACATTTATATCAATGACAAAAGCATGGCTCCAGAGCATGTCCCTGCTTACCTAGCCATACTGAGCTTGGACCATTCCTCACCACCTTTTCTCCAGCTCTTGACAGCAGCAGTGCTCTCACAGGTGAGCAGGCCCATTAGTGAAACCCAGAATTGCCAGTAAGAAGTTGCATGGTGTAACACCCATTCCTGTGGGTCAGTACCAATCTGTATCCAACCAGGTCCTGCACAGGAAGAGGCAGGACATGCTCCTCCTGCATAAGGGGTTCAGCTTTATCCTTAATTACTAGGCTAGGGCATGGCAGAAGTACATCATTTAAAATTCAGCAGAATTAAAAGCAGTGGAACAGGGGAAGCGTGCATAAACATGTCGCTTACAATCCCAATGTTACACAGTATTTTAAACACAGTGAAAATGTTGCTCAATTATCAAATTGGAGTTTAAAGCAGGACACATCTTTACAGCACCAAATGTTTTCCTCACACATACAAGACCTGTGTATTTGCTTTCAGGATTTCACAAACAGACCCAAACTCATATTTAGAAAAAAACAGATGCCAAGTATAAGCTATAAAGGCAGAAGCAAAACGTGGGAACACTATGTCAAGAGAGAAGAATTTAAAGTTAAAACTAAACTGAGGCTGGAGTTCTGGGCAACAAGGCAAAGCAATTATACATGTGGTAAATGGAAGAAAAATTAGATTACCGGAGGGCAGATCTGACATCTGTACTAGCAGTGGTGCTACAGATCATTAGTCATAGGCATTTTACAGCAAGTGCCACAGAAGATAATTTAAGCAGTGATGACACCAGCTCCTTCCTATCTATTGCCCTAGTAATATTAGTTTTTCAATTACAGGGGTTACTTCTTCCAAGAGCAACCTCTTAGACATTTTACATGTTAATGTTTAAGCAACCAAACTCAACTTATACAAGCTTTTTAAACAAAACCCGAGTTTTATTATTAAAGTACATTTATATTTTATGGTGTTTTAAAACAGCAGCTACATGCACAGTTCTAACAAGTGAATTAAACTTTAAATCCCCAATGAATTTTAATATTGTGTCCTTTTAAAATATAAATAATTTAGCATTTTCAGTAGCTAAAACCCAAACATTTCTCCCATTTATGATGTAATTAAAGACATATTAATTTGTTTCCACCGCTTTGATTTCATAAGATTCACACCTCTTTCAAATTAGAAATAATTGTCAAAGAAGCAATTCAGAAAATTATTTCTGGTGGTGTACAGCAGGCTATCCTGCATTCATTCCCTTCGTAATTCCAAGTGCTATGTTACCTAAAGAAATATCAAGTATACGTGCGTGCATGCGTGCGCTCCCAGGCAGTCTGGGAAGCTGCCCCGGGGATGCAGCTGGGAGGAGGCAGGGCTCTGTCAGCTCCGGCTGCCACCGGCACGCGTCTGGATCCCTCCTGCGCCCCGAGGTGCGAACCGAAGCAGCGGACGGGCTTTCTGCGGCTGGAGCACGGTTTGTGCGGGCATTGCTGCCACCGCACGGCCAAACCCTGAACTCCTCCTCGCCCCTTGCAGCGCGACACCCCTGCCACAAACCCTCAGCAGCCCTTCCTACTCCAGCCTCTCAGAGCCCACCACTGAGTTCCCGAAATTACTTCCAAACACTCAGATCTTGCTGTCTCTTTCAAATGCGAGCCACCAGCTGTGAGAACATTTCAGTGTTGTAGAACTATGTTAAACCAATAACCCCAAAGACAACAGAAAATTGTGCAGGTGCTGGTCAGGGTAGCTGCAGCCCAACTGACCTGCAACAAAGGCTGAAACAGCTCCTTTTCTAAAATAGCCTCCTCAAAATATCTCCCCAGCAAAGGCTGCTTTTAGAAGGCTGGACTCAGCACGCTACTGTGTCTGTCACCTGCAGAGGCTCAGCAGCCTCTGAGCAGGCATCTCATTCTGAAGAGACATGGTGAGTTAAGTCACAAGAGAAAGGGAAAAGGGAGTTCAATAATTTTTCACACACAACAAACAGGAGTCTACATTCATTCCTTTTTCTTAGCTCTTATGAACAGCAGTTTGCTTCATATTTAAATATTTTATAATACTTACCTGTTAGGAGTCACTATTTTTTTTATTCTGCTGCACATGACTTGGCAAGCTCATTTATACAAGTGCCAAAGGCACCACAGAAATACAAGCATATGCCATAGCTGTGGGTTTAACTCTGTCACCTGTGGAATAAAGCTCCACTGGTCTGAAAAACTCAGCAGCACTCTTGCAGAGTTTCGACCTGACTTTTTGAATAACATTTGAAAAAGTCCAAAGAACCAGGCCGTTTTCAATAAATAACATTTAAAGTATCTTCACCCTCTCCCTAGGTGATCAATGGAGATATGAACTGTGCAGTTTATGAACCTATATGTTTGCAGGTCACCTTTTCTCCTCACAACTACTTCACCTGTGGCTTTCTAAGAGGAAGTGAGAAAAAAAATCATATCTAGTACGACAAACATCATGTATCATTTTGACAAGGTCAGAAAGGAAGTAAAAATGCCTCAGGCCTTCCTAGAGAAAGCAAGGTTGCAGAAACCATTCATTGAACACTCACTATCTTTGAAGGACTACATTAGAAGTATGACTCAGTCAGCTCAAAATGTAAGGCAACTGAGGGGTCCCTGCTTTATCTTCCACACCAGTCAAGAAATATATGTGAATGCACTCACCTTTTTTGCTCTTTGTGCTATATTAGGTGTTCTAGTGAGAAGCTTTTCAATCAGGTATTCTCTATTCTGCAAAACCAACATTGGTTATGTTAAAAATCAATACAAGGAAAGAAGACATTTCACATAGATTTTAAGGCAGAGCAAAATTTACTCATAGGGTTAAACGTTTTACCTTGGCTTTCTGGAAAAATTTGCATTTTAAAAGTTCTGCTGCTGTGGGCCTGAAAGATCAATAATAAATTAGAACAGAAAACAAAGACCCCTCTCAGTGAATACAGTACAAGACGTTAGTTAAATGGTACGTCTCTAATACTTTTGAATTAGTACTGTATGAATGGGGAATGAATGAGCATTGCTACTGAATTAATTCACACAAACTCACTTACCACACATGAAAAAAATTAAGCCTCTCTATGGCAAAATACCAAAAAAGAGAGAAAAAAAACCAGTCTCTTAAGCTGCCAATTTCCCCCCTTTTTGTTCAACACAAATTCATTTAACATTAAAAAAAAACAAATAAGACAAAAAGAAAAAAAAAAAACGCAAACAAAGGCAGGTATTGCTTTCTTCCCCAAATGACTCTATGAATACAACTAAAACTTTGCTCCGCAGCAATAAAAGCATAATTACATTTTCCATACAGCAGCATCAGTACCTCCTATTGGCATTCTTTTACCTCACTGATGTCAGCAGATATTCTCAAGAAACTATACTGACACTATTAACAAAGAGTCACCAGGATGATCTTTCAATCAAACAGACCAATACAAACCAAAACAACAGCCGTAAGGTAAAACCCGACACACTTCATTAATTTCACTTGCAGTTCTGTTTAAGTTTGTTTCAGCATTTCCAAGAGATAAACACAATCTCACAGCTATCAAAGTGATTCCAACAGCAGGTTTTGTCTCCCTAGATTCAGGGATCCAAAAAGCCACTTATCTAGCCAAAGCCAGATTCTGGTACTGAAGCAGACTCTGAAGAGAAAGTGAAGCATCACTTGGGATGAGATGAAATCCTCCATCATTTCCATTAGGAGCCCATACCATCATCCAGGACTAATTTTGACACAGCTAAATTTAGGGAAGTCAATATCTTCAAGACTCATAATTTCTAAATAAACAGAAGAAACATCTGCTCTAGTTTTCCATTTGAATTCCAGCAAGAGATTGAATGTAGAAAAAATAGGTAAAACAGTGAGAAATCTTCCATTTGGAAAATCTCAATCTCAAGAAAACTCAAAAATCTGACCTAGTTTATTTCTTTGAGGACAGATCTGTAAAGTAAGTGAGCAAAAGAGTAGTAGTAAATAGTCTGTATGTATATACCACTTCATAATTGCAAGGAATAATGAAACAACTTGACATTAACAAAAAATTCAATTTAGACAGACAGTAGGTTCCATAGAGCACATAGTTTTCTTCACCTCCAAAGCACCAAGCTCTACAATAAAGCAGTTCCAATCAGTAGTCCCATGGAGACCACCAGACTTGGTAGTAATTAATGCATGTATCTTGGATGAGCAAAAAGGAAAGGAATACTATTTAAAAGAAAAAACAGCTTCTGTGCCAAAGTTTTAAGTTCTCACAGTACCATCATATCTCATAACAGGGCTATGCACACTTAAAAGCTACATTTTAGTAAAGTTTTATCCAAACTAGTGTTCTCCATTCCTCTACCATTAATTACACCAGACGCTTCTGAACTGGTCTGGACCTGCTTTCTGGCCCTGTTTTTCCACACAAGCTGCAACAATGAATTGCAGCTGTGGACTGTGAGCAGCATCCTTGGCACTGGGGCAGAGAAACACCCACAGAGATCCCAGAAAGAAAAACGTCATAGTCTGAAACAGTAGCAGTGCAATGCCAGTCCTAGAATTTGCCACAGAGAGCAAGGACTTCTCCCACTTCTGACATAATGGCTGCTGGAGGGATCTCCGTGCAAAATTACATCCTGGATTCTAAGAAATATGATGACACCCCCACTATAAAAACAATTGCTCTCTACCTGTTTCTATCTGAACATCTATTTGCTGGTCTAATTGTTCCATTCAAGGCAATCTTGAGTATGAAGGCATTGCATGTGTTTTAATAAATGTATAAATTCAAATAAGTACCTTAAACACCAATGCCTTTACTACATGTCAGGTAACTCAACATTATGTATTCAAGGAGACAAGGAAAAATCATTTTATTTACTTCTCATTACTTTATACCACTTTAATCTTGCCCTGAAAATTACTAGATACAGGAAACTAGAAGAAGATGGATTATGAAGAGCTTGATTATCCATTATTATTATTATTTTTCCTATCTGTAAGCACCTAAACTGCAGTACTCAGCTTGAAGCATCAGGACTTGCTACTAAGACCAATAAGGTAAGGGGTTTGAGAATCTGAAAGCAGTACACAAATGATCATTGAGTGAAAAAATTTTCAAGTATTTCAAGAATAAAGATGTAGCTACAATCTTTGTTGTTAATTATACTTGTTCTCTGGTATTCCTGCTGTCACCTTTTCAATGTGACTCCCTACAACCGTATCCTGGACTGAGGCTAACATTACATCAGGAAGTACACATCATAAATGACACATACAATCAGGATTGCTCTCTCAGAACAATCTTTCCCCAAGAAGAGTAGCTCTGAAACTCTACAAAACAGTGATATACTAAACACCTTAAGAAATAATGCTAATTAGAATGTGCTTCCTACAATTCTTCAGCATAAAAAAAAAGCCTGCAAAAATGAGTCTGCATAAAAATAAATAAATAAACTAATCATTCAGGGAACTTGGGATCTCAGCAATGGTTTTGAAATAAATGTTTAATACTTTCATCACCTTAGCTATTCAAAAAACATAGCCAGAAAGAACAAACAGCAAAGACACCATGACTTGCAGTTCCCTACATAAACATGAGGAAAATTCAACAAACTTGGAGCCCTAACTTTACAGTAAAAAAATAAAAATACATCTTAGTAAAAAATTTTCCCTAGATATATCCCAGTTAAAAACAACACTTAAGTTTATGTCACACAATGAGAAAAATCAACATTAAATTATTCATTTTTAATTTCTTTTAAAGGCCAAGAGAATTATATATTTAGTTACCAACTGTTCTGCTGCTCAATCTCAACAGTCTTGTTAGACTTGTGCACAGTATCAAGATTTATATCTTACTTCAGATGAGAAATTAAGATGTAGAGCAAGGACTTTTTATTTGATCAATATTTAATTCAATACTGTGTTTAAGTAAAAATATATTAGGTTAACAATCAGAAGAAGTAAACTTAAGGAACAGTAAAAAGGCAATTTCTTCTCCCCAGGTGGAGGTGACTGAAGACCGCTACTTACAAAATTCAAACCATACGCTTAAAGATTATATCACTGTAATTTAAAGTAGTCTACATATTTTCAAAAATAATTCTGTTTTAATGGCAATAGTGACGTACCTTTTGGAAGGATCTTTTTGAAGGCATAATGAGATTAGTTTTCTAAAGGATTTGCCATACTTTTTCATCATCTCCTTGTCCTCTACACCAGTCTCTAAAGTGGGAGGGTCATTTTGAAGCGTTAGCATTAAGACCTAAAATAAACCCAAAAATGAAGTGTCATAAGCAAAACTAACTTGAAATGTAGAAACTAAGAGAAAAAATACTCCACAGAATACATCTATTTAGATACCCTGAGTTGCTATTGAAGTAGTACTAACTATCTAGCAGCATTAATAATACAGCTAGCATCATTAACAATTACAAAGTGATTGTTACTTTCATAGGAGGGTATTTGTGATAAGGTGCTGCTCCTGTTGCTAACTCAATGGCTGTTATCCCAAAACTCCACATATCGGCCTTGAAGTCATAACCTCGCACCTGAAACAGAACCACAAGGGAAAACCAAGGTGGTAAGGTCTCAAGTTCCAAAATTAAAAGACAAAATGTTTTACATTTCTGATTAGCATTAGAAATACCTGCTCCATTACTTCAGGGGCCATCCAACAGGGAGTACCAACAAATGTTTTCCTTACTTTGTTACGCGTAACATCACCTCCAGTTGCTAAAAACGCGCTAACACCAAAATCTGGGAAAGAGGAGAAAAGTTGAAATCTGTTAAACTGCCAATAACAAAGCAAAAGTTTTATATTTTAGAAATAAAGTCAGTTCCTGAAGGAATGCTTATAGAAATTCTCCATTGCAAATCTGACCTTTGCTGCACAACATGCTGTTCATGAAATGCTATGGAATAGAAGGTATAGCTTTATCAGGGAAATCCACACAAAAACATCCTCAAGTTTATCCTCCTAGTATGTATCTTCCTGGATAAAGTTGCAAAGGACTCCAATACATCTGTCACCTAGGGTTTTCAAATATTCACTTTGTGCCAAGGTTTGCATCTGCTATTGTTCAAAGACAGGGAGCTTCTTCTGCATAACAACTAAATACGAATGTGATTTGAACAAGAGAGAATACTATATGTCATTTCAATTCTTACAGGACTTTGACAAACCAAAGGCAATCAGAAAAGCTATCACTAATATGTACTTAATAGTAGACCAGGACATGATTAGCTTTTTCCAAATTCTGAAATAGAACAAAAACCAAAAGGCTCAGTGTTCTGTTAACCCATTACTACATAAATGACAGCTGTATGGGAGAGGTAGGCTGTAAGTGGATGAAGAGCAGGTTCCCAATGTATGTAGAAATTCTGTCAATTTTGAATGGAGCTATATGAAGAGTATTTTCAACTGTACTATTTACAATCCAGTTATACTGAAATTTCACTATAGACTTCTATTCATTCTCTATTGCTTTCCTGTTGTTACCTGATTTTAAGGCTGAAAACACCTCCAACAATTACAGAAAAATGTAGTGTTATCATTATTTGACACTGGCATATTAAAGGCCTTAAAATATATGTTTACATGGTACTTTGAAAGCACACTTTATATAAAAATTACAACTTCTGTCTATAGCCATTTTCATTACCGAGGGCTCTCAGTGCTCAGTCACCCACTACAGACTGTGGAAGGCCTGGCAGTGTGCTGGGGGAAGGGGCAGGTATCACCACCTGCTTCCATTGTTTTCCAGATAATCTGATACCAGCCTGAGGGATGGGATATGAGCCTTGCTCTTAGGAGACCAAATAATTCAATTCTTACAGACTACAGCTCAAGAAGCACATCAACGCAGAGGATGTTTAAGATGCTAAACTGTATCCAACAGATACCACTGCCAGACAAATGGCAGATATGCCAAAAATAATTCTCAATGAGATTTATCTCTTGAATCTCAGTGACTAGTAAATTTATAGTCAAAGTCCTCACAAAGGACAGTACACACAGATTGTTGGATCCCCAAGACTATTACAATTACTTGCAGGAAAAAATGCAATGAACAGAAATATCAGCTTCTACCATTTGCAAGCTGTTTAAGGTTCATGGGTGAATCAAATGGAAACATGAGAAAACTTCCTTATGTATTTGATGGGACACAGAGAAATATTGAATAATTTCTGAGTCAAGTATCATTCATCAAGAATCCTGAAATCTGAAAGTGGGTAACTTGCGGCTACAACACTCCAAAAGGAATAGTTAAAAGCCAATAGAAAAGCTTTCCCCCTTGATACCAGTTGCCCCTGATCCAGCTTCAACTCCCTTTTGCTTTTATTTATTCATTACTCTACCACCACCATTACCTGCTATTTGTACAGAGCCATCCTCACCCAATAGAATGTTGCCAGCCTTCAAATCTCTAGAACATACAAACAGGTGTTAGCATGAAAGTGCACACTGCACATTTTATGCAAGCAAATAAATATTGCACACTGAATAGTTTCACAAGATAGCATTTTCAAATTTATAACAGGAAAAGGATACTGATGTGTAAAATGTAATTTAATAACATTAAAACAGAGTGCAGAACTCAAATTCTAAGGAATTTCTGCATATAAAAAGACCAGAATTCACCTCAAGCATAAAGAAGCAAAATTCAGGGATAGATTTTAATAAGGTAGATATACAAGTTCAAAGTCTGGTTTACCACCTTTTATAAACATAGTCTCACAAACTGAAAACCTTCAATAAGCTACAGTCAATTTTGAAAATGCTTTTCACTATGTATATGCTCCTACCTGTGAATTTGCCCATTCCTGTGTAGATAATCTAAGCCCTCCAAAACTTCTTTAAGAATTGTTGCTATTATGGGTTCTTCAAGCACACCATTTTTGTGCTCTCCTCTGTTGACAATATACTTTATTATATCAAGCATTGAACCTGTATTGCAGATCCAGGAGAGAAAAAAAGAAAATACAAAGCATTATCATATCAGATTCCTTAGAAAGCTGTATTTCTTCATTCTTTCTATGCTAGTGCAATTTAAATTTTTGCATGTATGTGTAAAAGCTTCATGTAACTAGCTCTTAGAATAAAGCCCACTAACCCATTCAAATGAGATACAAAGTACTGCTTTCTGTCAAAAATACTGTAACACTTAATGATCCATTAGAAAGATCTGCGAACACTTGCAAAGCAACCACTAATTAAAAATTCAGGAGTACCCCATATTTAAACAGACATGTACTGCAAAGGTCTTGGTTTATTATCCAGTTTAGATCATGGTTCATGTATTCACAATGTAAACACACAGCCGCAAGATTGGAAGGAGACAAATGCAAACAAATGATAACATTCCCTGTGACACATAGTTTGACATTGAACCTCAGTTATTACACACTTCAAGGCTTTTAATGGAAACATTTTGTCTTTATCCAAGCACTATTCCACAGCTCACAGTAAATTCCTGTCATGTATCACTTGTTTCTCTCATGGGCTATGCTTGCTTTTGCTTGAACTGACCAATTCAACCAAATGCAACACAAGTGCTATGAGCACTTCCCCTCCTTGTTTTCCAACATCATGGTGAAGCAGCCTGCTGCCATCAAGATTAATCTTGAACAATATCGTGTAACAACCAGGACCATCACATCTTATTCAGGGGGCCTCTCTTTTCTAACCTACAAATACATTAATTTCAGCCTCCTTTTTCCTCTTCCAGAACTAAATAAGAATTTTATACCAGTAACTATTATCATTAAAAAATGCAATGAGTGTTTGGATAGCTTAAGCAATAAAAAGGATGCACTGTGTGTAATACTTGGCCTAGGATGGATCTTGCTTGAATAAGGAATGAGTAATACTCATTATGAAATCAGACATTTTTTATAAAAATACAGAGGATTCTAGAGAAACTCCATAAAAGATCACACTGACAAAATTGAATTAATTCCAATCAGTTTTCCCTACACAGCCTTAATAAAGAATTTTAATAAATTGGTTCAGAATGAAAATTAAATTCTCTTTATATACTATATTTCAGTAATTCTTAGCCTGTCCTATGACTACAGATATACAAACTTTGTAAGTTTGCACATTCCTCCTTAACATGCCTGCATCTCGAGGTTCATCCTATGTAGTGTCTAGCCCTTTCTCATTAGTTTAGCTCAATGTACTCACAGGTGGTACATTAGCAAAAAAAAAAATAAAAATCCTACAATTGCCTTGCAGCTAAACAAGTAAAACCAGTAACTTACCCCCACTTAATAGCTTCATAACCAGCCACAGTTCATCCTTCACCACAAAAGATGTGTAATAGGTCACCACATTAGGGTGATTGCACTGACTCATTGCTTGAATTTCTTTCTGTAAGAAATACAGAGCCCAAAACAACAGAGCCAGCTATCAGTTTTGCTAATATAAAGTTTCATTTCCAAAGTGAAATACTATAACAGAGCTAAAGTATGTACAGAGTATGCATCAAGGCATTAAAACATTTCAATTTACCTAAAGATCTGCATGCAAGAAAAACCATTATTGCTAAGAACATGAGGGAAGTTTGGCCATGAGATACAGGCATAGCTACATCACTTTTCTCCTGAGAACAGCAAAGAAATTACTGTTAAAGTCTCAAATTCAGAGTAAGCAATGAAGAATGAGTAGTCTCCAAGAGCTGAAGATGTGGGTACAGGCTGGACAACAAAATGCAAGGAAAGGTCAAAATCTACTGCATTTTCTGTTCAAAAGGGATATGAAGAGTAGAATGGGAACAGGTAGGAAAGGAGGAAGGAAGCCATCGAACAAAGGACACAGCTCCACTGGCTCAGCTACTGTGGGACAGACAGGTAGACACCAGAGCCACACAATAAACAGAAATAGAAAAAAAGCAATATTACAGGCCAAAAGTCATAGGAAACAATTGACTAGAGGAACACACAGTCACTAACAGATGCACAACGTGGCACTACCAAGTAACAGCATCTATGACATGCCACAGCTGTACACATTAAGAATGACTGTCTTGTGTCTGTTAATTCAAGCAGAGTTCTTTTTCTCTTCACCCTTTCACATAATTGCTCTGTAACACCTTTTCAGCCACTCTCATTCTCCTGCCAATCCTTTACATAGGAGCATGAGGCCTCTTGCGTACCACAGGGTTTGGCCTCAAACCCTACTTGTCTCTCTCTACTTCCAGCCACAGAGCCCCGATCCACCCCTTGTGCTAGAGCATATGCTCCTGGAGGGTGAGCCAGTCTGGAAGCCAATCCAGCTAAAAAAACTCTTCTTCTCCTCTCTCCCTGAACAGCAATTGTTTGAGGTGAACTGTTTCTCTCTGACTCAAAGCACTTGTGCAAGTTACGCACTATGCAGGTCCCACTTAGGTTGATTAAAGCTGCCACAAATGCCATTTTCAACTTTAAATTTCATTTTAGCAATTGTTTGAAAGAGGTTTTTTGTTATTTGCAAAGCATTTAAAATCACAGCTGGTTTCTAATAAAAAGTTAATTATATGTATTAAAGACTGGGATTTAATCTCATGGTGCTTGTAGGAGACTATTAAAGTCAGGCTGTAGTTTGACATGCATTTCAGCTCGTTCTGCTGTCCAAAGTCCTCCTCCTTAGACAATTTCTGAACCCTGAAACACAGAAGGAAGAACGCCTGGATAATGAATCAATGAGCCTGAATAATAAGAGCAATTTGCAAGATAGCTCCCTGACATCCCCCAGAAGACAGTAGGTGAAAGACAGAAGACAGACATGTAGAGTACATTTCCCTCTCCCAGAAGACATGTCATCTTAAACACAAGTCAAATTACTGCCTCACGCTCTTAATTCAACTACCCATTCCAAACCTTAACTGTAACTCTCCCAGTCCTGGTTACTATTTCATTTCTTACACTGTTTTATTATTTTCTATGCTGATAATATATCAGTGACTCAAAAAGTCCAGCTGATACCACTGGGCAAAAATGCATCTCATCTATTTGTCTCAGACATTAATAATGCAAAAATGTAACTAATTGACTGAGATAAGCTTCACTATCTTTAACTGAAAAGTGCTTGGAATATTTTACCTCCCTGCATCAACTCATGGGCAACAATTGAGCTACCACAGTAACCATTGCCAAAGGCACCTTGCGTCTCAGCTTTCATGACTTTTTTTCCAAGAGTCTTTGCAAAACAAAAATAAACAAACAGAAAGCACCTCATGAGAGATAAGGGATGAAATTTTAGTCAGGAAAGAATTAAATCATTTCAGACTTGTGGTTCTAGAAAACTCCTATCACCAACAGAGTAATAAACCTCCTCAGACTTCATTTGTTTGGCTGTGGCCCGCAACGTGCACAGGTGAGAAAGAAAAGCATTCATTTAAAATACACTGCCAGAGAAACAGCTTGCAGCAGAACATTCAGGAGAAAACACTGGAGCTTTCTTCACATTTATGTCACCTCAGGCATTCAACAGCAGCAAAGAATAACAGCAATTTAAGTCTCCCACATCCCACTCTTCCCCCTGCCTTGCACTAGCACAGGCATTTGTGCGCTTCACCAGGCAATATGCCCAGGTTAAAAGCTAACCTCCTTCAGCCAGGTTATTCCTGATCCAGTTTCAGGGAGCAGCTGCACAAAAATGTCTTTCAGCCTCAGGGCAGGTGGGTGACACAGTTAATAAGCAACTGCGAGACAGCTCCTTTCGGTGCTGAGCTGCAGCAGCCAGGCCGGGCCCGGCTGCCGCTGCCCGGGAGGTGCCGCCGCGCGGGCCCGGCCCCGGCCTCCTCCACACGGCCTGCCGCCGAGGGCAGCCACCGCAGGAACTGAAACAGCCTGGAAAACCCCTTCAACCAAACCGCCATGCTACAGAACATTCTGGAGTTGTGGACTTGAAGGTTTGATTGTTCAAAAAAACTGGAGGTGAAAGAACGGGGAGGATACCCAGCCAGGACAGTACTAAGGACAGGACTCTTTCCTTGGCTTAGGGGATAAAGTTACACTTAGGTTACAATAGTGAGAACACAGGACATTGCAGGAAACAGAGTATCGAATTTCAGGAGTTTGGCAGTTTGTGTAACCTCAGTAATATTTAAACTCCCTCCCACACTGCCTTTCTATTTTAATTGACACTGGCCCAAATCCTAAGTCTGCTTGCATGGGTTGATGCATTTCCACTTCTCTGAAGGCCACACAGCTGAGAATTTGTGAAGGGTGCCTGCGCACAGCATTCATAAGCACTCTGCACCATCCTTTTAAAAAACAGCGTGTTCAGAGAACAGACAGTTTTAGAACATTCCTGTGCCAACAAACACTGTTTCATCAGAAAAATAAGTGATTAAAAACTGATTAAACTCGGAATTTTTAGACTCAAATTCTGCCAAAACCACAAGAACATTTTAAGTACTATTAACTGAAATGAAAATGTTAGTACAGTTGTAACAAGAGTTTTGAAGGTCGATTATGCCTTTTTCCAGAAAAAGTCTCTATTTTTCAAACAAAATTTTAAAGTTTCTCTAATAGAGTCATAAGTATACTGAACCTCACAGAACAAAGTTAATTATATATGTGTACGCATGCACATGTGTACACACTTCTATAGCTCTCCTAACCAGGAAAATCCCAATTCACGTTCAGATTAAAACAGATCAACAAATTAAAGAAACTAAAAATCTGAGCACAGAAAAGCAGAAATTGACTTATGTTATAAAATAAAACAGATGGTATGGACAGTTGTCTTTGTACCAAAAGAAAGCAATATAGGACCAAAAATTCAAGACCTACTGCCTCATTTGACAGACAGTGGAGACATGTCAACAGTAAAGACACTCAAGCATTTGGCAAGGTAACTTTTTACAAGCTTGTAACTAACTGCAATCATTTCTCCAGACCACAAGAATTTTTCTTGCAGATTTCTGGCAGTTTTGTCTGGTTTTGCTTGTTTGCTTGTAACATTTTAATTCTTAATTCCCAGCATTAGTTCAAATTCTAACCAAAAATTTCCAATTTTAATAAATTTATCTTAGTTATTAGTATTTATCTTTCTATAGAAATGTTCTTTGGGGACTGTAGCTGTTAACACATCATGCACAGCATCTCACCTTGGGCTTAAAGACAGGTCAGAATTATCTTTTGAGTTTTCAGTTGACAGAATTCTCACTACCTCAGAAGTAACTTCCACTACCACAATCCTCGTAAAAAGCACAACAATGTTGCATACAAGCGGTCACATAAACTGAAGGTGAATGCCATCAATCACCAGGGGAAGAGCATTTTGGGTCCTCCACTGTAAAAAAGCCATTTTATCTGAAGAAACTGGACGGACCATACCCTCTGTATCAAATTCAAGATATCTTTTGCACTGGCAATTCCCTGCTGAGGAGCTCATTTCCTTCAGAGGCAGGAATTTCTGCATTAGAAAAAGCCCACAGTCTCTAGGCTGTAGTATAACCTGTGGAACAGAAGAGAGTGTTCTCACTTTTAGAATGGTTTTGTGTCCTTCAAATCTTGTTATGCTGCCTATACATAAACACACATTAGTCTTACAAGCACCTAACTAGGAGCATTAGAAAGCAATAGGTTTTGTGTTTCAATAATTCTTTGTGAATTTTCTGTATTGCCATAACCAGTGCAGAGGAAAAACTCTTGCAGTTCCTTTACAAATGGCTTCTTACAGGCCCCTTTCTTCTCTGATCAGTGGCCCAAACAAATAATATTCTTCAAACATTCTTGATAATGTTTGTTACAATAAATGTGTATTAGCTTTAACAAGAGTTTCCTTGTGTAGATGGCAGTGTAGCCATTCCTCCTTTCCTCCTTAAAAGTTATTATGAAATGATCCAACATGTTTTCGTGCTTTAGACATTTTAAGGAGACCTACTAAATTTTTTCTTCATGTTTTTAATCAGTGTTGAACTGAAAGAAAATGTATTTTTCCTCAATATTAAAAAAGACAGACAACCAGACAGCAATCACTTAAAAACTGAGCTTCCAGAAAACAAGAGTTTAGGCTCTTCCCACAGTTATCCCAAGCTGATTATTTCAAAATTAAGTTTGCATATTTAATTTTTGTGACATGAAAAAATATGCATTAAAAAATTATATCTTTAGGGAATAGTGTAATTATTTCAGATTATTTTCAAATCCTTCTCTCATATCCTGCATAAAATTCTACCCTCACTCTTGGACCAAGCTAAAAACAAAGTCAAAACAGAAGGTAAGTCTCCATGTAACATGCTGCCCCTTTATTTACTTACAAGTAATTCATCCATACTGGTTTGGCATTTTTCTAAGTTGATCCTCTTTATTGCTACACGTTCTTGCCTGGGTTTGCAGAGCGCTGCCTGGACAACTGCTGTAGCACCGCTACCTGAAAAAGGGCAGAAAAGGAACAGTCTCAGAGATTAACAGAGTTTAACAGATGAGTTAAACCAGTGACCAGCATGAGAAGCCCATACTGACAAAGAATTTCAAAGCTGCTGTTTATCCCTTTTCAGTGCTTTCTCCACATGCATACCTTTCCACTAGCAAGACACTTTTCACACGTCTCAGATGGAAAAGAAAAACCTGAAAGTTTCTTTTCCATATACCACAAAAAATTCCAAGGCCAATGATATCAAATGATGTGCTCATTTATCAAGACATAACCATGACCTCAATGCATTTCATAGTTCATTACACTTCTGTCTTTGGATACATCTGTTTTAATCAAGAACATGACCTGCACAGTTGATACATGGAGTGGTGGGTACTGTGAAAGCACAGATAAAGATCAATTGTTGTTTTTCTTCTGTTCTTTTAGGCCAGTCCCTGTTTAACCAGGTTTTTTGTTCCCTTATCCAATGAACAGAAAAAAATCAGTAAACTGTACATGCCAAATCTTCTACAGTTCCACCAGTGTTCATGCTCATTCATCACGACTGGACTAACACCCTACAAGGAGCATGCTGATCCTTGTGAAGAGCACAGGAGCACAAGTACCACACCAGCAGTGAGAAGATGCAGGTTACTGAATGGCCCAGCAGAGAAAGTCACTCATGTTTGCTTGGCATGCAAATCACATATGGTCACACAACCACACTGATAACAAAGCCCAGGGAAATTGAACAAATGTGGAGGAAAGAAATAGAATAATTTTTTTCTAGAATGCTTTATTTGTGAACCACAGGAGTAAAAGGCATTGTTGCTTCTTTTATCAGGCACCCGCTCAGTATTGCCTCACTAAATTAATGAAATGATTGCAAGTAATATTCAGAAGGAGTTTTGCTCAAGTTGCACATCTTGCTGCCACATCAACTATAACAATGTGTGCTCCCTCAAATAATTACACTGTGCTCATCCATGCAGAAATCTAAAAGCTCCCAACAAGCTTCTATCTGTAATTAATATTTTGATGTAAATTATGAATTTCTGGTAAGTCATTTGAGCAACATATTGGCCTGCTTATAAACTATGTTCTATTTATTTGGCATGTTCTAGATGAATACAAATTGTGAACAAAAAGCCTTTTGTTGTCAAGCTCTACAAACGTGGATTCAGTTACCAGCCGACTTAAGAACAATTGAGAGCTTTTCCCTCTGCACATCTGAAAACAGCACCAACAATACCTCATGACTGAAAGTTATTGTACATGTTTTAATTGCTATTTGCTTAGCTATATTCATGAATTGTTTGCTCTCATGATGTTTTCACTCAAATCACAAAGCTTTTTAACTGCATATGAATTTTGTGTCAAAATCCTGAGCTCATCTTCAAAAAAAAAGTCTCTTTAAAAAAAAAACTCTCAACAGGACTAACTAGTCATGTTTCTGCAGGATGTGGTCACAGACAAATATTGACATGTCCTGTTCCGTCTGCTTACAGAACAAAGCTTTTAAAAATTCCAATAATGTAGGTAATAAAAGAATTAAGAGATTTTAAAAATTAAATAAGACATCCCAAGGAAGAAACCACCAAGTCAGCACAATTCAGCTAAGACTCATATACATCACTTTAATGAATTCATCATTCAGTAGACATCAAGACACAAATACTCTCATTACTTTGACTAAACAAACATACATTGAAACAGGAGAAAGAGTATTTTTAGCTATTAAATATACAGGAAAAAAAAGACCAAGATTTTCCTTATGTATCTTTTTCATCTATGCTAGTAGTTTTATCTACTTGTAGAAAAGAACCAAGATCTTTGCTTTTAAATTAGATTTGTATACAAAAGCCTCAAAAAAGACAAACAGAATAAGCACACAGAGAATTTATTCACCCAATGCCAGGATAAAATCTTGACTACTTCCTCAAGTTAAATGACAGCAAGTAACACTTCAAAACATTTTGGAAAAATTAAACTACAAAAAAAGGATACTTTTCTGTGTTTACTTCTCAGACAAATGACTTGCAATGGGATGTTCTTCACCACATTAGTAAGATGTGCTGACAACGCAAAAAGCTTTTTAGGTTTAGAATAAAGCCAATATACCTAGCTTCTTCCTTCTTCAGCTTTTCTAATTCTTTACACAATACACTAGTTTGAGAGTAAAGTCAAATTGCGCAGTCTTCTCAGCTGGACCTACGTACATCTAAAACCTGCTCGAAAAAGCAGTTTCACATACTGAAGCAGGAGCCAGAACTGAGCAGCTATATGCCTCCTTCCTCTTAAAGATGTTCTCTCCTTCTCTGGCTCACAAAGTGAACAACCAGGGACAGAGATAAGGAAAACCTGCAGCTTTCACATCTGGTCAAAAGGTTCCTTTTGTCCCATCTACTAAACAAGGAGAAGTGTGAAGTGTTCCATAGGAGCAGCTATTAGAGACTAGACTACATAAATAAACATTTCAGTTGAGAGGTAACAGAATACAGAAGTAATGCACTATCATACAGTGAAACTGAATTGTCACAGGCAACCATTTAGCATAACAAATTAGGATCACAGAAAACTATTTCATAGAATAGATTACAGTCAACCATTCCTTGTCAGAAGGTAGGGCTTCCTGAGATACACTGAGCCTTGCAAGTCTTCCAAAACCCTCAAAGCAGAGAATACTAACTACAACATAACCAAAACATAGACTGGTTTAACACTCAGTCTCTGTTTAGGAAACTGATATAGTATAATGAAAGCTCAGGTTGCATAAACCATGAAGCCTTTACATCCAGTTGTCTCCTGCAGAACAAAACAAAAGTATTTCCCAGGGTCATACTAAAAAAAAAACCAGCTTTGTAAGAACAATGGGGTTTTCCACTACTAGAAAAGTCTTTCTGCTACAGACAATTCTCTTTGCCAATTTCAAAAGTTAGCAGTGAAACAATGCAATTTCAGACCACATCAAGATGCCTACTACTCCCATTTCACAACAGACAACAGGTCAGAGTTTCATCTTGTCCTGGTGTTTTTGCTGCCATCCTCTCTAGTGTAAGCATGCCCTTACAGCCAACCTGTCCCTTCATGCTGCAGACCACGCACTCTCTACCACCCCATCCTCAATGCAACAGAGCCATTAGAATTGCTTTTAACCATCTGGGTTCACACAACAGAAACCTTCTCAAGAGCTACTACATACAGCCACACCTCACCTCTTCTGAAAGGATGTAACCTAAAAGCAGTTTTCTGCATTCCACTTTGCACACACTTCACAGAGAGCATATAAAAACTCCACAAATACTCATCTGGGATTTAAGCTTACCTGAACAAGTTCCTTCAAGTTGTTCTAAATTTGACATAAAGGTTTTTTTTTTTCTCTCTCCTTTTTTTTTAAACATGAATTTAACCCTGCAGAACCTGACTCAACAAAGAGAAGAAGGATATTTGACATTAACCTTTTAGTTTTAACTGCTCTCCTCTAGTCAAGTCTCAAAAAGACAGTGAGGTGAGATGGTTGGTCCATATCACTCACATATTGCACATGCCCACATCCTTCATACAAGGATGCAACACTTCATTTATTCCATTATTGCTAAAGGTCTGATACTTTCCACTTACCATGGCACAGTAACTGTATTCAAAATAGATCACAAACATTTCTTTTCAATTTTCTTCTTCTCCTTAAAAACAAAAGCCCATTAGCCCATAATGACTCATCAATCTCTCTTTTAGAGGCTCAGTGTTAGTCTCCACAGTATTTCAGCACAAACTTCCTTTAAAGATCTCTGCAGTTTAGGTCACTCTAACAAAAGAGACCTTTCCCAATACTACACTGGTTCTAATTTCTGAAGAGGAGGATGAAACTTGTTGATAATGGTAAGTTTTCTTGTTGACTAAGTATCTTCAGATACCTAGGCTACAGAACAGCTGCAATTGGAGAAGACTAAATATCTCAGAATCTATAAAGTCTTACATACCAACCTATGCCAGCTGCATTTTTGTACACTTCTGCTTGCCCAACCTACAGAAACCTCCTATTAATATTTCATCTCCCATGACATCCTAGTTCTGAAGAAGAGCCCCCCAGGTAATTCTTAAACTTAACTCCTACACTGCAGTGTAACTGCAGGACTCCTTTTGCATGGAGCAGAATGCATATGTGTACAAAAATCTAGATTAGGTTTCTACTCATGAATACATGTGGAGTTTTTGAATGTAATATACAAAGCACCCGTATTACATACAAGCTTGGAAAGCTATGTTGTATGTCCTGCATGTTGCACACAATATCGTGTAGCATATTTCCAGCATTGCTAAATGTGCTATGAACCAATCAGCCCTTCAAAATATTCCAGAGCAGCACTGGCCTGAACTAGTCTCTTCTGTTTCGAAAGAATGAATTCTGTTGGTGGCAAAGCAATACTTTTGGTTAACAAACAGAGAACAAAGCAGATTTAATTCCTTTCAATTTCTAGATTTTAGCCCACAATACTCTAGACAACTTTCAATATTACTCTTTTTCTTTCATATTACTTCCACTAATTAAAATAAGTTATAAATCAGCCAGGTAAAGCTCATTTACACCTCCATACTGAACTCTAAATCTTTCTGAAACTTAGCTTCTTCACAGAAAATGACCCATTATTTCCCTTTACATCTTCACATGACAAATACTTGAATTCTTAAGAACTTCACAATAATCATGTAAATACAATTCACTAACAATTCCTGCCCACTTTGTGTTCTGAATTCATGCTGGGATCAAATCTCTCTCCTTACAGCTCACTTGGATACTACTTTGCTTATCCTAGCAATTATGACATAATTCACTTAAATACACTAAGTGTTACATGAAATCAATGCCCACACATAGAACTGTTACTTCTGCATTTTCAACATTCAACAATTCATCTCCAACTCCTCAATGAATTTGTTTTGCAGTTGGAGATTTAAAAACATTGCCATTATGGCTACAGAACCACTGGGTTACTCAGTTATTGTATTTGACTTTT